CTCTTCTCTGCCTGACCATCAGAGTGCTAGCTTGCTCTCGGATATTAAAGGTTTTGATGATCGTCTCCGCTGGGACCTGGTCCTGGACCGCGCTTTGGAACTTGAGTGTCCTCCGTGCTATCTGGCCCTGGAGCTCCAGGTCCATATGGCCACGAGGTTTTTGAGGGAGGCGGGGGGGTTTTCTCTGGCTGTGCAGCGAGGTTTGCCTTTCATTCCAGGCAGCAGTGGGGCAGTGGGTTTAGGCAGGGCAGCCCTTCTCTTCGTCAGCATCAAAATAGCCACTGGCAGGCCCTCACCAGCATTACGCTTAGGTGGACGACGTAGTGCAGTGCATGTATGGTGGCAGTGACAGAGTTGTTGCTGAGCTCTCGGAGCTGGGCCTGGAATTGGTCCAGGGACTGCGCGCGATTAAGTTGCAGATTGCTCCGAACTCGGCCATCGTCTCCTCGCCCTGGGCGTTGGCCGTGAGACTCGAGGATTTCTTCAGCGCGCAGTCCAAGCGCGTTGCAGCGGATCTAGGTATTGATCGTGGCCAGGTCAAGGCTTCGCAACCCAAGCAGGCCGCTGGGGGGGCTGGGGCAAACCGTAGGTTGCAGAGGCTAGGTGAGCTGGCTAAAAGGCAACAGGTTGTGCAAGAAATGGGCGCGACCGATGGGGTTGACTTTTTTTCGGGGGCTCTTCTGAAACTAGATATTCAGACGCGGCCCATGGCACCCCGCCCAGTGTTGGCCCCGGTTGGCGGAGAGCGTTGGGTAGGCTTACTGGGGGAGTCTCTAAGGGGGTTAGATGCCTGGCCGCGATTGTAGCTCCGGAGCGCGGTCGGAGGGGCCAGCTTTCTTTGCGATGTTTGATGCGTTCGAGGCTTGGTTCCAGATTTAACCCGTGCTAGTTTCGATGTGCGTAGAATTGCAGCTGATTTGGAACCTAAGACAGCAGGTAACACATGGCGAAGTGTAGGCGCCCCAGTGGCCGCCACGATCGCCACTCTGCTGGATGTAGGTTGGAAGCTTTGGGGACACTGGGCTTGGGAAAGTGACTTTGGAGAGCGGTTTGCGATTTCAGAAGCCAAGCCAGGGCGAGGCAAGGTTGACCCTTGTGATCTTTTCGGGGCCCTGGCCCAAAGCAAGGAACGACAGCTCAGGGAGGCCGCTGCAGCCGACTCTTGGAACGGGTATGGATTGGAGCTAGTGCCAGACTTGTGCGATTCCAAATTTCAGTCGAGGTCGCTGGCCAAGGAGGGCAAGCGCGAATTCAGAGGGATCCTGCGGGCTGTGGCTACTGGGAACAGTTGGCCACGCGCAAGGCTCCAATAATGCGGTCTCGCCCTGGAGAGCTCCTGTAGGGGACGTGGTGAGTTGGTGGAGTTTGACGTGCATCGCGCATGGGGCTGTCATATGAATGCCGAGTTTTCCAAGGTCTCAGCCTAGGTGAGAAGGCGGGCCCTGGCGGATTGGGAGAGTGATCCTAGCTTCTGGGTGCGAGGGCTGACGCCGAGCAGCTGGACCGCCGTGCCCCCTCCCCCCGAGGGCGAGGAGTTCCAGACCTGCGGGGGGACCATAGAGGGGGCTATGGTGGGCGGTCTTGTCTTTGGAAGGGGGAGATGCTAGTGGGGGGCCTAACACTCAGGACCCCGCACTCCGTAGGATGGCTCGGTCTTGGGTTGTGGTCAGGGTCCCCCGAGCTAGTGGGCAGCATGACCCCAGAGAGCTCCAGGCCCACGCAGTCAGTTTCGGTAAGGTGCCTGGATGGCGCCAGTCGGTCAACGCAGGGGAAAACGATGAGTCCCCTGCAGTTCTTGAAGGCTGCCCCTCTTGTTGCTGACGGCTTCTCTGTGACATATTCTATTTAGGTGGTGAAGAATTATAGTAAGGTTCGTTTCGGAATTTCTCCGAAGTCTCACCGAGATGTGTGGCAGAGTGTCAAAGAAGTGTTGGCCAAACACCCTTGCAGAGGAGTAGTGCTTGTCAAAGTTAAGAGCCGCAGAAAGGTAGAGGACATCAGCGGCTTGGGAACCGTTCCCTCGTTGTTTTCGTTTGAATGACCTGGCCGACCGTATAGCGAACCAATGGGCTGGCAGTATTCGCGTGTCAGCTGCTGCTAGAGACAGCAGGCCCCATGCCCAGGCGATTGCATTCCAGGTTCGCCAGCACCTGGGTTACAGTCTGCTAGCATCGATCGAAGCCGACGGGACCGCGTGCCCAGAGAGGCGGTTTTGATACCCAAGAGGCGTGATATCAATATCTGCTGCTGACTGCTCACCAGCCAGTGTGGGGGATAGGTTCCCAGGTCCGCTGTCGTTGCTGTGGAGGTTGTGCGCCACACAAGTTGGCGGACAAGTTTTCAGGGACCCCGTGCCATCAGGGCTTGTTTAGGAGGATGTTTTTGGTGCACATTAAGAGCTCAGTCGATGGCACGCACTTACATCGCTCCCACCCCTTGCTATCACAAGGAGTTCGTGGGCGCAGTTTGTCTGTCCTGTGGCTGCGTGGCCGCCCGGCCT